ATGCGGGGCTCGATGCCAGGACTCTGGGATCATGACCTGAGCCGAAGGCAGACGCTTAACGACTGAGCCACCCAAGAGCCCCGCTTAATGCTCTTTTATCTTGATATCACATGCTTATCTTTTTAATACAAGCACTGTAGGGAAAATCACTTTTAAAAGGTTGGGGAGGGTGGAGGTGGACATGTTGAAAAGTAGGAGCATAAGATTTAAATAAATGAAGGTAATTAGGTCTTGCTACAGAGATATGTGTTTTGTTGAAAAATACTAAGAACTAGGATAATGATGTATTGGTACTTTATATTACAAAGTGTAATTCACATATTTTGTCTTCTCAACCATTTGGGAGGGCAGTTTAACTCCATTTTATAGATGAGAAAACTGAAGCTCATAGCGGCACACATTGCTAAAGCCACAAACTCCTAAGGGTAGAGCAAACTTTTTTTTTTTTTTAAGATTTTATTTATTTGAGAGAAAGAGAGCATGAGTGGGGGCAAGGGGGCAGAGGGAGAAGCAGACTCCCCGCTGAGGACCCCGGGGATCATGGCCTGAGCTGAAGGAAGGCAGACACTTCACGGACTGAGCCACCCAGGCGCCGCTAGAGCAAACTCTTGAATGTGGGAGTCTCATTACTCCAGAGCTTGCTATTTATTTATATTCCTTTCCTTTAATTCTTAATAATTCAAATTTAGTAAAGACAACTAATAACTCCCCTGGCATCACCGTTGGTTTCAAGCCTGAATCAGTGATATGAACCTCGCATGTCAGTTCATTACCAGGACTGAACCTATCACTCTAAACACTCATGAACTAGGGGGGAAAAGTTTTATAAGCTTTAAGTACCATTTTTCTAAGCAAAATAAAATTCTGTTCTATGTAATGTAATGGGAAAAAGAAATGTTTATTTTAACTTATTTTGAATTGGAGTCATTATTTGAATTTGTGCGGTGATTTATGACTTTAAAAGAAGTTCTTATTTGAAATTCCTAGTGCCTGAAGGAGGAAACAGAGTGACAGACCTGGAGACTGCAGTTCTTTATTCCTCACACAGGTATGGCATCCTGTCATGCTGCTAAAGAAAGCCTTCCTCTCTAATGGAAGAGGGAAATTTAATTTTATCCCAGGGCAAATAACCACTTGTGTGCCCTACACATTCTTAAAACCCATTACAGAGTTATGTTTCTTTAAATATTAGTTAATGCCTTGGTGCTTTGGGAAACTGTCCAGTGTTGTGATTATTAGACTCATGTTTGAAATCTAGAAACTAATTTTTTAACCTTTTTAAATATAAAATTTTAAAAGAAGATTTACACATTTTATTATAAATACAGAGTCCCCATTATCCTTAGATTTTTTTTTTTTATTGTGGATACAATGCTCTGAAAAATAGTGAAGTACCTTTTTAATCAGCAAAAAGTTACACAGGTAATTTTTTAAACTGTCAGATTTTTAAACTATATTCTATTTAGAAATTTTTTGTGATATTTAGTGAATTGACTAGAATACCCCATTGTGTATGGAGTTAACACCATAATGTGAACATCTCAGATCTTCAGCTGGCCTTTTTCTTACTGAATCTGGTCTACTTCAGAGAGCATTTGAGAGGACAGCATAAGAGCATACACTTAATAGGATGGTTAAAAGTAGAGATTACAGATCACAAACTATATCAAACTTTTTGTTGTTTGAAATGCCATGGAAACAATTACTTCCCTGTATTAATTTTCCATTCTTTTCCTACTTAATCTTACTCCTCCTTAATTTCAGCCAAAAGCTGACTATTTCAAATTGGACAGCTTTTTATCAGGAATATAATGAGAACATCTTGGGCATCAAAACCCCTCCGAGAATGAGCAATATTGACTGAATTAGATAATGTAAAAATTTTTTCCACACTAAGATCAGAGTCATGATTCATTTTCAGCTTGATGTACGTGGGTTAGTTAAGCTACGTTTTTTCCCCCAAATGAAATAAGGCACTTATTTAACCTCTCCGAGGTTTAAGTGTAACAGAGTTATGCCTTATTTCTTAAGTACAATAATATAAGAACTGATCAGAGCTAGTCAGATTATGGTAAATATGGATTAATTCTGGAATCAAAGCCTTGCATTGCGGCTTTTAATAAACTGGTTTATATGTTCAGGAAGATTGTATATACTTGTCCATTTTATTTCCAAAAGCATTGCAAGCTGCTGGGCAAGGCAGAGAAAATCACACTGTCCTCAGTGTGTTTAGAGCAGTTTGAAGAATGGAAAGAGTCCAAAGTGATAACCTTGTGGGAAAGGCTGGGAAGGTGCCTAATCCTCCTGCTTCTGGTTTGGCGACTTAGAGGGTAGCGCATAGGAGGGGTTCCTCTTATAAGGACATGGACTGGTCTTTGGTTTTGAACACTAGTTGTAGAGCTCTTTTCTATGGATTATGCAGAGGACTTAATCTTGTTTTACTATAAAATTAGAATCTGCCTGGTGACATTTTAGTTCCTTTGTCTTTATTTCAACCCCGGTGTAGCACAGTTTAGATTATCATAAGCAGATAGGTTTTTGTGGAAGACGGGAAAGGGTAGAACAGAGTGAAGAGGTGGTCCTCTGTTCGCTTAGCTGTTATGACAGCGAGGCTGTGAAGTCATTAAACGGCTGAGGCTAAAAATCTTCCTCCTTCTCCTGGCTTCTAATCAATCACAATTTCTGCCAGTTTTTTGCTTGCATAGTTTTTGAAGCTGTTCCTTCTTCACCCCTCATGTAGTAATTGCTCTAGGACATGACCTGTCTTATCTGGACTGCGCTCTCTGCCCCCTCACCCAAATCCGTTCTCCATGCAGCACCGGTGGCTTTGCAGAACGGTGACTCTCAAGCTTTTTTGGCTCTGACCCTCAGTAAGAAATATACTTTATATTGCAGCCTAGGATATGCCTGAATAATCGAAACCTTTTTCATGGAAGAATTCTTAAAGTTACTGTGTGCCGTGCAATTTGATGTTTTCTGTTCTTTTCTACTACGTTTTAAAAGGTGTTGTTCGCCATCCACTAAATTGATTCCGGAGTTGGAAAAACATTGACCCACACACGAATAGGACCCTGTTACTCTTGTCTGAAACCCTTGATGGCTTCTTTTTGTCTTCATGATGACTTGGAAGCCCCCTGACAGCAGCATACCAGAGCCGTTATAACCCGATTCGGGTCTAGTTCTCTTGACCTACTGCTTGCCTGCTGTACTCACTGGGCCTCACATTTCACTTCAGGAAGTCAGTAAAACTTTTCATGGCTCTTTGTACTCTGCCTTTTTGTACGTTGTCCACCCTGTTGACAATCTCCTACTGCTGTTCGCTTCTGCAGAGCTTTACTGATAACTCCTTACTCATTCTGAAGACTCAAGGCAGCACCAAGAAGCCTCTCTTCCCACTCCTCCCCTTTCCTCCAGGCTGGGTTAGGCGGTTCTCATAACATAATGTGACTGTCTCTGTTGTTTCGCTTGTTTATTATTAGGTGTTTGTATCCTACACATGGAGATGGTGACTATTTGAAAAGGGAAGGGTTATCTCCTGTGAAGCTTATCCCAAATGTTTGGCATGTAACATGTTGTCATTGTTTGAATAAATGAAAAAACATATAAATTCTTATATTTAGTAGGAAGATTCAGTGGTATCCCTTGGGACCTTTAACTTAGATTTTGTGATTATATTTCTAGGTGCTTATTTTTTAGGTTTTAATATACCTACAACTTTTTTAAAAATATTTTATTTATTTGTCAGAGAGAGAGGGAGAGAGCACAAGCAGGGGGAGTGGCAGGCAGAGGGAGAAGCAGGCTTCCCACTGAGTAGGGAGCCCGATGCAGGGCTCGATGCAGGGCTCGATGTAGGGCTGGATCCCAGGACCCTGGGATCATGACCTGAGCCGAAGGCAGACGCTTAACAACTGAGCCACCCAGGCACCCCTCAAGCCAATACTTAAAAATGGCAACCAAACTTTCCTTTTATTTCTTCCTGACTTTTTCTTAAATATTCAGCTTTCAGTAACAATGTTGATAACCGTTCTGGGCATATTGATCCTTAATTATTCTTTAACATTTGCTACAATTTAGGACTCTCATTTTGAGAGTAAGGGTATTCTGGAATATAAACAGTTACTATTTTATTTTTTTAAGAGTTATTTATTGGAGAGAGAGAGGGCTCATGTGCCCACACAAGCAAGTGGGGAAAAGGGCAGAGGGAGAGAGAGATCTTTCATGCAGACTCCCCGCTGAACGGGAGCACAGCCTGACTCAGGGCTTGATCTCATGATCCATGAGATCGTGACCTGAGCGGAAACCAAGAATTGGACGCTTAACTGACTGAGCCACCCAGGCGCCCCAAAGTTACTATTTTAAAACAACTTTTGCATAGTAGCACTTCCTTTGCTCAGTTGGAAGCCCTGAAAGTTAGAGCTCTTTGTACTTTCCCCACATAAACACATCAATCCTGGACAGGACATGCCTGCATGCATCAAAGATATTTTCAAAAATATATCTTTAAACATGTTTGTGAATTGGCATTCCATATTCTTGATTACATATTTTATTTGCCTGCACTTTTCCAGGCAACCATCGTCGAAACTGGCATCCCGAGTGTATCATAATAAGCATCGAAAACTTGGTTGACGTTGAGTGTACTTCTGGTTAAAGTTATGGTTCCCCTACTTGCTACTATTCTCTTTGCCTAAAATAAATTATGATTATCCCCCCTCTCCATCTCCAAGTCTGGCTAACACCTATTAGTTCTTTAAACTCAGCTCAGTCACCCTGTCTTTTGTTTGTTCTTCAAACACAAGAAGTTTATGTTCGTCTCAGAAACTTTGTACTTGCTGTTCTTGCAACACCCAGCGTTTCATATGGCTGGCGACTTCTGATCATTTCTCAGCTCCACTGTCACAAAAAAATGACTGTGTTCCTCATCATTTCATGTATCACCATCCTCCTCCCAGCCAATAATATTCTCCTGCTTTATTTGCTTAATACTATTCTATCTGGAAATATTTCAGCTTATTAATTAATTTATTTATATATTTGCTTACATATTTCTCTGGCTCCTTCCCAACTTTAATATTGTGATTTATAATTAGAAATGTATTTTTGGTCTGTGTCCCATTTCTGGCACAGAGCTCCTAAAACCCTTGGAATATCCTAAGTGATGAGTGATAAAGGTGTCGTTATTCATAACAAACCTTTCAACCACACCTGAGTTTATGTTGATGAGGTAAATTTTGGAAAGCACCTAAGGATGCTGGCTGGTTGTCAGGGGAACCAACATTGTGTTTAGAGGATTGGAACTTTTTTTTTTAAAGATTTTATTTATTTGACAGAGAGAGACACAGCGAGAGAGGGAACACAAGCAGGGGGAGTGGCAGAGGGAGAAGCAGACTTCCCACGGAGCAGGGAGCCTGATGTGGGGCTCGATCCCAGGACCCTGGGATCATGACCTGAGCCGAAGACAGCCGCTTAACTGACTGGGCCACCCAGGCGCCCCGGATTGTAACTTTCATTCCTCCCCCCCGCCCCGGTCCCCCCCTCCCCGACCCCCAGAGAGGGGAGAGGGGCTGGAGATTGAATTTGATCAACCATGTCTAAGAAATGAAGCCTCCATAAAACCCCAAAAGGACAGAGTTTGGAGAGCTTCTGGGTTAGTGACCCACCCAATGCTGGGAGGATGACACACTCCAAACTCCGTGGGGACAGAAGCTCTTGTACTTGAGACACTTCTGGATCTTGCCCTATGTATCTCTTCATTTGGCTATTGGTTTGTATCCTTAAAATCCTTTGTAACAAGCCAATGATCTAGTAAGTAAACTGGTTTCCTGAGTTCTGTGAGTTGCTCTAACAAATTAATGAAACCTAAGGAAGGTGCTGTGGGAATCTCTGATGTATAGGTGGTGGGTCAGAAGCACAGGTAATAACCAGGACTTGTGATTGGGATCTGAAGTGGTTTGAGAGGGGGGTAGTCTCGTGAGACTGAGCCTTGAAACTGTAAGATCGGATGCTATTTCCAGGTAGACAGTGTCAGAATTGAGTTAAATTGCAGGA